TTCCTCAGAATCTGCTGGATTTCCACTGTGCCCACTGTGATTTCACTTTTTTAATTGAGAATTGCACTGATCTGGGTCTTTTCTGTACTTATTTTGGTAAATTTAATTGGAGGTTTATGAATCTTGTTTATACTTTTCAGAGAACCAACTCTGATACATTGATCCTTTGGATTTTTTTTAGTCCAATTGCATTGATTCTTACTATATTCTTTATAATTTCTTTCCTCTTATAAATTTTGGATTTATTTGGATTATTATTGCTTTCTAGGACTTTTCTAGGACCATCAGGTTATTTGTTTTTAATCGTTCTGTTGTTCTAATGCTAGTGCTCATGACTATAAACTTCCTTCTCAGAACTTATTTTATTGTGTCACACAGGTTTATTGCATGTAGTATTGTCACTGTTATTTGATTCTAGGAACTTTTAAATTTTTTCCTAATTTTTTAATCTGTGACACATTAATTATTTAGGAATATATTTCTTAATCTCTATGTGTTTGTGTAGTTTCTGTGGTCTCTTTTGCAGGTGATTTCTAGCTTTATTCCATTGTGATCTGATGGAAAACAGGATGAAGAAACATGAAATAAGAGATAGAACATAGAAAGTCCAATGCGCCATTAGCCATCTGATCTTTCACAAATTGGACAAAAATGAACTCTGGAAAAAGATATCTGCTTAACAAATGGCACTTGGGTGAATTATTCGCATGCAGAGTAGTGAATCTAGACCCGTATCTCTCACCCTGTAGTCAAATCAAACCAACATGGGCCAATTACCTAAAAATTGAACACTGAAATAGAACACTGAGTCTACTGGAAGATAAAATAGGTAAAACACCTGAAGATGTAGTCATGGACAAAACTTCCTGAATGGGACCCCAAGAATCAACAAATGGGATTATGTTAAACTAAAAACTTCTGCACAGCAAACGAAACACACAACAGATTGAAGAGACAACCAAGACAATGGGAAAAATTTGCCGGCTACTTCTCTGAAGAAGGATGCTATCTAGAACATATAAAATCTTTAAAATACTAAATTCCTCCAAAACAAAAGGCCCAATAAAACTCACAACTGCACTGAATAAATACCTCTGAAAAGAAGAATAGAAATGGTCAATAAATATATTTTAAAAGTTCAGTATCTTTGTCTATCACCAAGATCTCAAAACACAACAGACACTGCTAGAGATGTGGGGGACAGAAATCCTCAAAACTAAAATTGAAGAGCAGGGAATATAGTTCAGTGAGGCAATCCCTGCCTAGCAAGCACAAGGCTCTGAGCTCAACTTCTGGTACCAAAAACAAATAAGTTAATCTAGAATTGAAATTCCATTTGGTCAAGCTATCTTCTCCTGGGTGTATTTCTCACAAAAGTTAAAATCATCATATTATAGCCATATACGCATACCCGTGTTTCTAGGAGGACAAGTCACAGTTGCTAAGTCATGGAAACATTGCAGATGCCCATCAGCAGAGGAATGGATAGAAGAAATATATATATCCACAACTGAATATTGCTTAGCCATTGAGAAGGATAAATTTGAATCATTGATAGAATAGTGTATGGGCTTTGATATCATAATGTTATATTTAATAAATCATACACAGAAGATTAAGTATTGTAAAATTTCTCTTAAATGAGGAACCCAAAATATAAATAATTTCAAGAACAGAGTAAAGGAGAGATGGAAAAGTAAATGTTTTGGAAATGGGGAATGCAATCTTGGGAAGGAGGAAAGGAAATAAAAACTTGATCCAGATATTTTACACAAGTAGTAATGAATGTTTTCACAAATTGTGATAAAAAAAATCAGTAAATGCTTCTGTCCAGGGCCATCTAGGCCTATAAGAGCATTACAGTGTGTCCTTAGTCACCTTATTCGCTGAATCTGGTGCTGTGTGACTTCTTGCCCTTCCCCAAAGTCAAAACGACCATGAAACATAAATAATTTGAATGAACTCGGGATATCAAAGCAATCATCAATGAAGTAAAAGGCATGAAAGAGTACATTCAAAACTACTTTAAAAAGTGGCAAAAAAATGGGACAAGTATGTTCAAGGAGGGGAATTGTTTGAGAGGGACTAATGGCAATATACGTTTTACTATAATATATTTAAAAATCTAAGTACCATTTGTGTTTTTCAATCACATCATATATAATACATAAATATATAGCATATATAAATTCTCCAATAAGACTATAAATATTATGTATCAGAAACATATACTAATAAAGGTAAACTAGAGATTGCCCCACTTACATCTCAGGGAAGTACTCATTAGATGTCTCAGCTTCTCTATCTTTCAGACTTTTTATATGTGGGATGTAGATAATAAGCATGCTTGAGTCACATGTTCAAGTACTGGAAGCATAATCCTCAAATTCATATTTCTCTATGGATTTATCAAGGTGGGGGCTTTCAAGAGTTAATTAAATGAGGTCGTGAGGATGGACCTTCAAGATGGCATTTGTGTCTTTAGGAGCAGAGCAGAGACCTGAGTTTGTTCGTTCTTATTCTTTTACCATGTGATACACTCCACCACGTTATGACATAATAACAAGGACCTCACCATGTTTGATCCTCTGATCTTGGACTTCCCAGTTTTCCAGAATATAAGAAACACACTTGTTTCTTCATATACTATCCAGTCTCAGGTATTGTGCTGAAGCAATACAGAATGGATAAATATAATGACCAAGAAGATTCAATGAAATAACACATAGCAAGTGCTGAGCATAACATCTATGGCATTATAATCTGGCTATTTTTTACATTTTATTTATTTATTTTAAAGAGAAAAAGTTTTTAAAAGCATTAAAATTATACAGAATTTCAAAACAAGATGATAGGAAATCAACAATATTCTACTGCGTATAGTTATCTCCAAAGTATTTGTTCAGATTACCAGATATAGACATGCAAAATTGTTTAAAAAATTAAATGTTAACTATTCATTTCACTAAACCAATAGAAATTAGTAGTGCAATTTTCTTAGCTATCTTATGCATGTATATATACATGCATATATATATATATATATATATATATATATATATCTCACCCCCACTTCATTCCTTCTTTCTCCTTTCCCTCATCCCAATTGTTCACATCTTGAAGACACAAGTATAGTCAGAGAGTTCATGAACAAAACCAAGTGGCGTGGGTAATACCTCAAAGAATCAACACCTTATTGAAAAGCATTGCTCATAAAAAGAAAACACCAACGAAGTGAAAAGAAAACCCACAGTTTAGCCAAATGTCTCACACAAAAGGTTTGTATCAGGAACATATAAAGAATTTTTAACAATTAGGTCTTAAAGTTCAAAGACCCAACCAAAAATGGGCATCTGAGATGAAAACATATTTCTTAGATGAAGGAATACAAATGGCAAACAGATATATGAAAAAATGGTCAGCATCATCGGTCTTTCAAGAAATACCAATTGAAACAACACCAAAATTTCATCTCACCCTATTCTATCTTGATGATAGAATGGCTATCATCAAGAAGTCGCCCAATGAGGCTGTGGAGAAAAATGAACTCTACACTGTTAGTGGGAGTGTAACTAGTACAACCACCATGGAAATCAGCATGAAGATTAGAGGTCCCATTTGACCCAGCTGTTCTACTGAGTTTTCTTCCAGAAGAACTGAAAACATCATACCACAGCAAGATATGTGCACCCATGTTTATATCAGTGCAACTTATTATAGCTAAATCTTGGAAACAACACAAATGTCCATCAAAAAAGATGTGGCATTTTTATACAAGGAAGTATTACTCAGCTATAAAGAAAGATAAATTTGAGGCTTTTATAGGTAAATGGATGCAACTAGAGACCCTACTTGTAAGTGAAATAAATCAGACCCACATGTGTAAACATCATATTGCCTCTTTAGTGTAAGAAACTGAATGAGAAAACAAAATTTGAAAGTTACAATAGATATAGTAAAAGGAAAATAAATTGTTCTAAAGTCTAGCTATATTAAAGTATCAATTAGAAAGAGGACTTAAGGATGTCTGCTATAATGCCTTCATCTCAAAATAATGCCAAGTTGCAGAGAGGTTAATTACCTAGAAGGCTAAATCTGCCTCTAAGGGAACTGACCATAGCTTTCTCATGGTCCTTGCTGGTTTGAGGTAGACTGAGAACTGGACCTGACCTCCGACTCTCTCACCTCATTGCTTTTCCTGCAGCATTCTAATGTTACTAGAATTGATTTGAAGATTGAAAACATTTTAAGAGATTGACACTACTCTACATCAATGGTTGTACTTGACATAGTATTGGCAACTTGAGAGACTGCTGTCAGATGCCTTTAGAGTGTTCTGATAACAAATTAATTTTAAAAATCTATAATGAACTAAACAATACTATCCTCGATTCCAAACAAAAAGACACCTATGAGTCATTTATGCCTTGGAAGCAAACCAAATGTATCTGAATATCCGGGCCTTCAATGTCCTTCCAAACCCTCACCATGAACTGTAAAGAGTATGTGCGTGCATGTGACTAAGTCCATAAGGGTGTAGGTGGGCACACGAACATAGATGCATTTGCTTGTGCGTGAAGACAAGAAATCTAGCCCCAGCCAGTGAGTGAGCAAACGAGCGAGGAGGAAGGCGCTCTGGGCAAAGGCGCTGCAGCTGCCATTATCCTCTGTTTCTCTGCTGTACTGACCTCTGTGTCCTGCCTGATCCCACTTGTTTGCAGCATATAGATTGGTGTGTCCATTTAATACAAGAAAATGGAAACTGAGCAGCCAGAGGAAACCTTCCCCAACACTGAAACCAATGGTGAATTTGGTAAACGTCCTGCAGAAGATATGGAAGAGGAGCAAGCGTTTAAATGATCTAGAAACACCAATGAGATGGTTGCATTACGAATTCTGCTTCAGAGCAAGAATGCTGGGGCAGTGATTGGAAAAGGAGGCACCTCCTTGTCGAGGTGGCTGGGGTGGTAGCACAGCTCAGAATCTTCCTCTTTCACCACCACCACCACCTAGAGGAGGAGATCTAATGGCCTATGATAGAAAAGGAAGACCTGGAGAACACTATGATGGCATGGTTGGTTTCAGTGCTGATGAAACTTGGGACTCTGCGATAGATACATGGAGCCCATCAGAATGGCAGATGGCATATGAACCACAGGGTGGCTCTGGATATGATTATTCCTATGCAGGGGGTCGTGGCTCATATGGTGATCTTGGTGGACCCATTATTACTACACAAGTAACTATTCCCAAAGATTTGGCTGGATCTATTATTGGCAAAGGTGGTCAGCGGATTAAACAAATCCGTCATGAATCAGGAGCTTCTATCAAAATTGATGAGCCCTTAGAAGGATCCGAAGATTGGATCATTACCATTACAGGAACACAGGACCAGATACAGAATGTACAGTATTTGCTGCAGAACAGTGTGAAACAGTATGCAGATGTTGAAGGATTCTAATGCAAGATATTTTTTCTTTTTTATAGTGTGAAGCAGTATTCTGGAAAGTTTTTCTAAGAGTAGTGAAGAACTGAAGGAGTCCTGCACTTTTTTTTTAATCTGCTTCTGTTTAAAAAGCCAACATTCCTCTGCTTCATAGGTGTTCTGTATTTGAGGTGTAGTGAAATCTTTGCCATTCACCAGATGTAATGTTTTAGTTCCTTACAAATAGGGTTGGGGGGAGGGTGTGCAAAAACTAACATTGAAATTTTAAAACAGCAGCAGAGTGAGTGGATTTTATTTTTTGTTTATTGTTGGTGGTTTAAAAAAAAATTCCCTCCATGTAATTATTGTGAACACCTTGCTTTGTGTGGTCACTGTAAACATTTGGGGGTGGGACAGGGAGGAAAGTAACAATAGTCCACATGTCCTTGGCATCTGTTCAGAGCAGTGTGCAGAATGTAATGCTCTTTTGTAAGAAACGTTTTATGATTTTTAAAATAAATTTAGTGAATCTAAAAAAAAGAAATCTATATCACTCCAACAACAAAAGAGAAGTCACATAATAAATAGGTAGATCCACACAGAATCCCCAGAGAAGACCTACAGATACTGCACTTTTTACCCAGAAGAATTTCAGAGACAGAGCTGTGAGAGACTATTTCTTTGGCACAGTCTGTAATGGCTAAACCCCACCAATCGGTGTAAATGTGTTTTCCAGTCTGTGTTTACATGCAGCTATAGTCCCCATGCCATTTGGACCTGACCTGCTTCTGTGCCTCATATACAGATATTTGGAGACCTTAGAGACAGCTAGTGAGCCTGCGCATTCTGCCCAGTGTTTACTACAAAAGAGTCTCACTACAGATGACTCACTTCAGGAAGATCTTAGATGCTAGCATTTACCAAATACTTTCCATGTTCCATCTACTCTTCTAAGGATTTTTAACACTGTATATTTCTTCATATTTACAACTTTATGGCCAGCTACTAGCATAAAACGCAACAGGTACTAAAAAATTTACAAAATCATTTTAAATGGACTTACCTATCTTCCCACAGTAAGTGAAAAAAACCATAAATTAAAGTGACACATGAGAGGCTCCAGAGGCTCTACTCTTTGCTATTCAGCTCTACCACTTTTAATTCTACCCTATACTTTCCTTAAGATACATGTTTCTTATTGTGAACTAATGGCTCATATTCCCTCAAAATTAGTATGCTCGTTATGATTTGTGTCTAGTTATTCCCCAAAAGCCTCATGAAGTCATTAGGGTAGAATTCTAGAGATTAATTCATGATTCAGAGCTGGGATTATGAGTGTGAGCGCTGCTGGGATTATCAGTGTGCTACATCCAGCATGGGGCTGATAGCCTGAATGCAATAAGGGGCTGATAGCCTGAATGCAGACTTGCTGTCTGTTGCCATTGTTGCCACTACTCCTCCCTTTTGCTCTTGCTGTTTTGATTTTTTCTACCACCATGAACTACTGCCCTCTTCCATGTGCCACTCTGCCTTGGAGCCAACTGAGTATGGACTGAAACCTCCACAAACTGTGAGCCAAATAAACCTGCCCTTCCTTAATTTTGGGTGTCAGGTATTTTGCCCCAGAAATGAGCAAAAAGCAACTGGGACAATGTTGAAGTCCTAACCTTCACTGTGGCCATATTTGGATATGGGTCCCTTAAGAAAGTGATTGTATTTGAATGAGGTCATAACACTAGGACTCTTACGTGATGCAGTGCTCCCAAACTTATTGCAAAGTTTCCAGACACCCCCGTGACAAGTGAAAATCAGTGAAGCAGTGACATTATATTTATTTTATATTTATATGTGTTTTAGGGCTTTATAAATCCTTCCCACACTCTTATAAACCTTCCCTACACATTTAAAAACACTTACACTGTTCTTAATCATTTTCTAAACTCGTGAACCTACTCAATTTTAACAATATAAGTATACTGTATAGTACTGAAAAACCCCACAATATAGTAAAATTCTACAATAAATAATTTATATTAATATTTTTGAAAACATGCAAAAGAGTGAGTCCACACAAGTCGATGCACAAAATAGCAAGGGATTATTGTAATCAGATAATAAAGTTAGCATGCTTACAAAAAAGACACAGAGTACTTCCTCTCCCTCTTTCTTTCTTCATAAGCACACACTAAGAAAAAGCCATATGAGAACATAATGAGAAGAAGAATATTCAAAAGCCAGAAAGAGAAGCTCACCTAAAACCAAATCAAACAGAACCTTGATCTTGGACTTCTAGCCCCTAGAATCATAAGAAAATAAATTCCTGTTGTTTAAGCCACCCAGCATGATAGAGTTTGTAGCTATTTCCCAGTGCACTGATGTTGGAAGGAGGGTCCTAAGGGAATGCTGTGGGGTCATAAGGACCCCACCCTCATGAATGGATTAAGACAGTTTTCTCAAGAGGAAAAATAAGGTAGGTCTCATAGGAGTGGGTCAGTTATTTTGTTACAAAAGTAGGTCAGTGGCTTTGTTACAAAAGCAAATTCTTTTTCATGTGCTCTCTTCCTTCCCACCACGTGATGCCTTCTTCCATCATGAGCAAAAAAGCAAAAAGTCTCACCAGAAGCCATGCAAGATACCAATGCCAACCTCTTAGAATTCTCAGGATCTAGAACTATGAGTATATTGACCTCTTTATATATTGTCCAGTGTGTGTTATTTAGTTACAAAGACAGAAAATGGACTAAGACACCCCAGTCAGATGAACACATGCATGGTACATAAAGTTCCCCAGCTCTAAGTTTTATCTGATCCTTGTGACCTGAGTTGTTCTTGTGCACACTAATGTGTATCATAAGGAAAAATAATTGTATATTAAATGGAAAGCATATTAAACAAAGAACCCATTTTAATATAAATCCTAGACAGAACCCTTACATTTTCAAAGAGAAGAAAACTTCTGTCAAGCTCATTCCATACCCACCCTCACAAGCTAAAACTTTTAAGTGTGAAGAAAAGCTGGATAGATAAGAACAAAATATTCAGTGTTATTATATATCCAATCTATATATGCAAAATAGCTATTCAAACATATTGATGGAAGAGTGATTAAAAATCTGGATATGAGTAAGCTAAAAGGAGAGAAGCAATGTTTTATCGCAAGCTTTCCTCTTGACTTTCTATGTAGTAGCATTTCTAGTGTCGTACAAAAGGAGAGACGGTTAGAGTGTAGCATTTCTAGATAGTAGATAATGGAACCTACAAAAATATTTAAAGCATAGTGTGGAGTTGGGCCAGTAACCAGAGGGCTGGGAGACTGCTACAGATTCCTTCCTCCCTGGAATCTCCAGAACTTACATAGCTCTAAATTCTGAGCAGCTGAGCTCCTGAACAGTATTGTCACAGCTGCCTTGACAGCCAAAGCAGAAAAAACAAAAGGAAGTCAGGTTCTCTGGCTCAGAATGGCCTCCATTTCAGCAAAAATGTTTGAAGCGAAGGTAGCAATAATTTTGTGCCCTTGTGGATGGTTTGATTATATTCTGCCAGTATGGGTTATTGAACAACTTGCTATATGCTTGTTAGGATTCAAATTGTTCATTGCTATGTCCTTGATACCTAAATTATCATACAAATCCAGTAAATTATCCTTTCTTTCATCAAGAACACCTTACTTACTATCTACATCTCAAAAAATTTCACTTGCCTAGGAAATGCTTCTCAACATTGAAAAACATGAGACTCTGAATTTAGGATCTCACTGAAATATGTCATCAGGCAGACCTAGTTTTGTTATAAAGAAACTACCTCCCACACTTATCTGAAACTTATTTATTCCTCCCCAAATTGCTGGCTATCCTACAAATCATCACTTTCATGTAGGATATTTTCAACACAATGATCTCACTTCCATGCATCCTCCTAAACCAATATACACCAAGTGCTCACAAGATTATTGCATGTTAGAGATGAGAAACAATCGAATATCACCAGTCCAATAACTGCATTTTAGGGGCGAGATAACAGAAGTGTAGAGAGCTGAAACAACTTGCTAGAGTTCACACAGGTGACTGCACTCCTATTCTCCAACGATTTCCTTTTCCATACCAACCCTATCTCTGCCTGCCTCCTCTTGCATCTAAATCCCTAGACCTTGACTCACTAGGGCACCATTTGTGTGTAGACTACAAGGGAGGTGACATAATCCAGGCATGTATCTTTCTACAAGCAGATTCTCACCGGAAAACTGGCACTCGGCTCCTTGGCAGAAAACATGTTCAAGCAGGAGCAGAGAAGAGCGCACCATCTGGACAGCCTGGTGCTTGGTGCCAACTGGGCCCCAGTGACGGGGAGGATAAAGCAAAAAGGAAGGGGGGCACCTGACTGCACACATTTATTTTCCCTGTGAGGGGATTTGTTAGTAATTGTGCTATTCTGAGTGAAAGCCGTTGTAGGTGGTTCTGATGCCTGACAAATGTGTAGGCAAGGATGAAACAAGGTGAGTGGTAACCAGGCAATTTGCAAATGGATTGGGAGCCAGAAATAGCTGGTGGTGTCTGATTACTACATATGAATGAAGGGATACATTTTCAAAGGGTAAAAGTATATGTGTGTTTGTCTCCACTTCTCCCTTTTTAGAAAACCAGTCAGTACAAAGATTTCTCTGATAGTACCTAAAAAAATCTTATATTTAACAACATTCACTAACAAGCTTCTTTGCTTGCTACATCTTAATAGTAATTTTTTCCTATGCTACAGGTAGGGTCCCACCTAGATAAGGTGGGAAAGCCATACCTAGGTAAGCAATGACTTCCAGTGGTCAACTAGGAGCATCATAATTGTCACAGAGCCTTTTCATGATTCTGGATTCTCTCTGAGATATAGTTTTAGGCAATTTGTGGCATTACTTACTTTTTTTGTGGTACTGGGAATTGAACTTGGGACCTTGTGCCAGGCAGGCAAGTGCTTATTCTACTGAGCTATCTCCCTGGCCCCTACTTTTTATTATTATTTCCTTCTATATTTGTTAAGAAGATGACTCTGGTGAGTTCTATCAC